GGGGGGGGGGGGGGGGGAGGGAAGACTTGCCCCTTCAGAAGAGTGCATGGAATAGGCTCGGGGACCCTGTGGTCTGTGCGTGACATAGGGCGGAGGGCGCAGATTGGAGGTGGCTGGTGATGATGGGAAGTGCAGCTGACTGCATAGCCATGTCTGGTAAATAGTGGGTGGGTAGGACGCGAGTCACTTGGTCCTCCTGGTTGCATTTGCCTCTTGGCAACGGAGTAAAATAGGCTTTTCTGCAGTCGCTGTTTTTCCACTTGGCCTGGGTGGTGGGCTGCCGCGGAACCCCCTTGCCTCAGAGGAAGCTAGATCTGGGGCAGCTGCCTGGCGAAGCCTCCTCTGCACCTTTAGAGTTCAGGCTCCTGTGTTTTCCAGACGAGCCCTCGATAGTCCCTAAGCTGGACCTCGCTGGCACTAGCTAGGCTGCCCTCGGGCCCGCAGCGGGAGCCCACCGCACTGCGCAGGAAGGGGTTAAGGTGGTACACTCAAGCCGGCGGATAGCTGCAGGCTCCGGTCAGCCGCGCGGATTCCGGCGGGAGCGCGCCCGGCGGAATCCCGGCCCCCCCCCCGCGCGGGGCCCGGCGGGAGGGGGTGGGCGGGGGCCCAGCCCTGAACCCAGCTTCCTCTAGGCTCCCTCTCTCCAAGAAGCCAATCCGCCTTGCAGCCAGCCAGGCAGTTTGAGCGTTTGTTCTGTGCTTCCCTGCGGAGATGTGAGTGATTTTCTCTTGGGAAGAAATCGGTGGTCCAGCGCCTGCCCAGTTCAAATGCCACCCAATCCAGAGCAAGGCCTGAGGCTCAGGGATCCCCTGAGGCCCAGGGATCCTGGAGGGAGAGTAAGTTCAGCGACCATAGCTATCCAGCATTCTACTGAGGCGATCTGGCTGTGTGCAGGGTCTCTCGAGCTGGGAAAGAGTGTGTGTTGGAGGAGGAAGGATTGCTTCTTCATGGGACATAGCTAAGGTCAGAGAGGAAAAGCCTCCCCTTGGGGGATAGGTGTTCTGACACCAGGGTGGAGAAAGCTGGGTGGCTCCTGGTGGCAGCAGAGGACTAAGCGGAGAAAAGTGCTTCAAGCTGATGGGAAAGGCTTACCCAGGAGAGGCTAGAAAGGTACAGGGCAGTTCTCTGTCACTAGCACCATGGAAAGTAGGCACGGGGGCTTGCAACTTGCAGAGAGGGTATCTGCCAGAGTCCTTCTAAGTCTTGGTTCCAGCTGCCTGAAAGCCCTGGTTTCCACCTTGCTGCTGTGTTTTCCAGGCAACGTCACACCTCCTGAGGACAGCCAGGAGGACTCTGGCTTTTGCTGAGCTGTGCATCTTACCTCCTTCCTTCCAAAGACTTCAGACCCAGGCTTCACTCTTCTCAAGTCCTGAATGCCCCTTGCCAAGCATCCAACTGTCCCTCCAGCCCTATCCAGTCCTAGAGCACACCTCCAGGATCTGGAGCCTGCCCTCCTGCTCAGAATGACTCACCATTATTTCCAGCCCAAGTGAGAAGATGTGACAGGGAGTTGAGCTGCCTGTTTGGGTATCTAGGATTCCTGTGGCATCTGACCTGCTCTTCAAGGAAGAGAACCTCAGGCTTCTCCTGCCTGGACAGGTAAACCAATAAACCAATAACAGCCATATAGAGTTATTGAGGGTGATATCAGGGATAAAGACCCTGGACCCAAACACCCTACCATAAATACTTCCTGTAGTGCAGGTGTTGGCAAGACATTAGCACAGTGCCTGGCAGAGGGCTCTCTTCTTGCCTCCCCCCTATGGAGCTGGAGCCTGTCTAGGTCACCTGCCCCCAGTGCAGGCCATTCTATATTTGAAAGATTGTTCCCTGAACCCCACTGATCCCTAGACAAGTTGCAAAGTAGCTACAGTGGCAGGGATGGTGATATGGTCTTGTTTCTGAACTCTTAGCTAAGATGGGGGACACCAAGTACAGTTCATGTCAGGTTGCCAGTGACTGGTGGTCTCACATCCTTACCTGCCTTTGTCTTTCAGCCAAGCGAGGCTGTGTCTCCAGCTCTCAGAGGGCTCTGGGGCTCTCCTGCAGGAGCACAGACTAATGCTTCTGTGTTTTCTGGGGCCCAGTTACCAGCACCCTGAGCCCCCTGCTGCAAGCAGCTGGAAGGCATAGAGTAAAGTACTCTCCTCAGCCCCAATTATGACAGTGGCTACCGGAGACCCAGTGGATGAGGCTGCTGCCCTCCCTGGACACCCACAGGACACCTATGACCCAGAGGCAGACCACGAGTGCTGTGAGAGGGTGGTGATCAACATCTCAGGCCTGCGGTTTGAGACTCAGCTAAAGACCTTAGCCCAGTTTCCAGAGACCCTCTTAGGGGACCCCAAGAAGCGGATGAGGTACTTCGATCCCCTCCGAAATGAATACTTTTTTGATCGCAACCGCCCTAGCTTCGATGCCATTTTGTACTACTACCAGTCTGGGGGCAGGTTGAGGCGACCTGTGAATGTGCCCTTAGATATATTCTCTGAAGAAATCCGGTTTTATGAGCTAGGAGAAGAAGCAATGGAGATGTTTCGAGAGGATGAAGGCTACATCAAGGAAGAAGAGCGTCCTCTGCCTGAAAATGAGTTTCAGAGACAGGTGTGGCTTCTCTTTGAATACCCTGAGAGCTCAGGGCCTGCCAGGATTATAGCCATTGTATCCGTCATGGTCATTCTGATCTCAATCGTCAGCTTCTGTCTGGAAACCTTGCCCATCTTCCGGGATGAGAATGAGGACATGCATGGTGGTGGGGTGACCTTCCACACCTACTCCAACAGCACCATTGGGTACCAGCAGTCCACATCCTTCACCGACCCTTTCTTCATCGTAGAGACTCTCTGCATCATCTGGTTCTCCTTTGAGTTTCTGGTGAGATTCTTTGCCTGTCCCAGCAAAGCTGGCTTCTTCACCAACATCATGAACATTATTGACATTGTGGCTATCATCCCTTACTTTATCACCCTGGGGACAGAGTTAGCTGAGAAGCCAGAGGACGCCCAGCAAGGCCAGCAGGCCATGTCACTGGCCATTCTCCGTGTCATCCGTTTGGTAAGAGTCTTTAGGATTTTCAAGTTGTCCAGACACTCCAAAGGTCTGCAGATCCTAGGTCAGACCCTCAAAGCCAGCATGAGGGAATTGGGCCTCTTGATATTCTTCCTGTTCATTGGGGTCATCCTCTTCTCTAGTGCTGTCTATTTTGCAGAAGCTGATGAGAGAGATTCCCAGTTCCCCAGCATCCCGGATGCTTTCTGGTGGGCAGTCGTCTCCATGACAACTGTAGGCTATGGAGACATGGTTCCAACTACCATTGGGGGAAAGATAGTGGGATCCCTGTGTGCAATTGCAGGTGTGTTAACCATTGCCTTACCAGTCCCTGTCATAGTGTCTAATTTCAACTACTTCTACCATCGGGAGACAGAGGGAGAGGAGCAGGCCCAGTACTTGCAAGTGACAAGCTGTCCAAAGATCCCGTCCTCCCCTGACCTAAAGAAAAGTAGAAGTGCCTCTACTATAAGTAAGTCTGATTACATGGAAATACAGGAGGGAGTAAACAACAGTAATGAGGACTTTAGAGAGGAAAACTTAAAGACAGCCAACTGTACATTGGCTAACACCAACTATGTGAATATTACCAAAATGTTAACTGATGTCTGATGAAACCTATTGATGTGCTCACAGCTCAACAGGACTAATGCAGATGTTGCATAATAGCCTGCATTGTAGTCAGTGTTCCACAGTGTGCATCTGGTTCTGCATGGAAAGCAATAGTCGTGCAAGTGACTTTTGACCTTTTGATTTTTGATTTAGAACACAGAGTATTTATCATGGCTTTCATGAAATCTTCATCACTGACTTACAGGGTTCCAAAGATGGGAGTCACCTATGGAGCCAGTCTCAGACTGGAATAATGCAGCCCCCTCATAGCCCACACACCACCCATCGTAATCACCATCCTAGCTTCCTAACTAAATGCAAGCACACCTGGCGGGTGCATTCTCCCTACCACACCCTACTATCCCACTTTAGCCCACCTGTCCCCTCACAGAGGAACACCATCATGGCTGAGTTTGAGAGTTCTGGAGACTACTCCAAAGGTCATTCCCATTTTTGCATTGAAAAGAACAGACAGTCCTGTGTGTTAGAATTACTTTCTGTGTCATAGGCTGAGGTTTGTGAATTGCAGTTGCCAACTAGATGCTCCGGAGGCTTCTGTTTCGTAACGGAAATGCTGCATTCTGCTTTTTCTCTGCAGTATCAATGTGAGGAAAGCCCAGAGGGTGGGGGAGGGACAGTTAATACGACCAAATATGAGTTGTCAAGTTTTACATTTGTTCCCTTAGGCCTATGGGGAGAAGCTACCTAATTTTGGGACTTCTCAGTTTCAGATACCATTTTGCAAGCCTCAGGGTCACAGAACATGTTTGATTTCTTCTTTTACTCTGGAATTTGCAGACATATTCTTTCTTGATGGTGTGGCCCAGCTCCACTACACTGCAGTGGAGTATACCAGTCATGCAATAGAGCTGCATGGGTGTTCACTGCATGAAATCTCAATATTTAAAACACAGAAGATAACCTATTTTCCTAGTATCCTATTCAGTATTCATACATAGAGTATTAATAGCCTTGGGATGGTATTGAACTGGGTTTTCCCCCCACAGAAGGCAAAAGCCCTCCATCAGGGAAGCAAATAGACTATTTGGAATGGGGAACCAAAACTTCTGGCTGGCCCTCCAGCCCGCCCATCTCTGTTCTTTCAATGGGAGCAAAGACCCTGCCACACCAGGAGAATTGAACAGAAAAGTCAGAGTCTAAACACTCAGATGACTGAAACTTAAGAATTAGTCTAGTCAAGGGCATGACTACAAAGCTTACCAGGGCATTGATCCTGAGGACAGGCAGATCTGTGGGTTCAATGTATATAAATATATATCAGCTATCTATCTTTCTCATGTGTTCCTCTAGTAAGCTATAGAAAAATTGCATTTGAACATTGTATAAGCTTATGCAATATTTTGACACAGGGCAATTTATGCATGTGTTTGACTATGTGCACTAGAATATATATATACATACACAAATGTGTGTATATGTACATTATACACACACATATATATATATTCATTCTCTGGAGTTCAGATTCAGGAGCAAATCCATTGCTTGGTGGGTTGGTTGTATAAGAAGCCCAATGGGTATGGTAAAACCCACTGGACCTGGGTTTGCTGTCATTGCCTCAGACACACTCCAGTGTTCATAGACTCCTAGACATTAGAATTGTCTTTCTGCCCTCCATGTGCTGCAGCTTCAGTTTCCCATGGCTGAAGCTTGTCTTACTGAGTGCACAAGGGTCCTACAGCCCTCACAGCTCCAGCTATCCTGGGCCAGGCCCACCCCAGGCCTCCTCTCCACAATTCCTCTCATTAATCATCTCCATTATTATCCTCTCCTCTGTTTGATTCTCTATCATTTGGCTCTGCATCCATCATTTTCATGACCTGTCCCTGGGATGGATCCTCTACTTTGAAACCAAGGAGTAAAACTCCCTGGAACCAGATTCTGCTGATCTAGAGGAAGCCTCCTATTGGTGGAAATTTCCAAATTCCAGAACCAAGGGATGGATTCCCTACATGGCCCAAAGCATCGTTTTGATTACAAAACTCACACTCTTTCCCTAGCACACTGGGTAATAAGAGCTGACCTTAAAAAAAAAGAGCCAAAGGATGGGTAAAGAATTACCCCCACCCCAAGAACAGGTAAAGATTGAATGAGAGCTGTACAGCCTCTAAGTAAAGAATGTGTTGGCCCTAGGAAGAGTTGTGGGGGACAGCTTTTGCCTCTTTGTGCTGGGCTTCTTTGCCTTTTGACATTGTGGCTTTAATTCCCCCAACACAATGAATCATAGTCAGGCTGTTCAGCATTGATTCCAACCCAGGCATCACTGTTCATTAGTTGGTACCTACAGTTGTCTTAGGGGAGGGGGCACCAGCTCAGGGTGCTAGTCCAGGGTGCTCATTAGTTCCTGATCACCCACATCCCCAGGTGACTGCAGGGCATCCCATGCCAGGCACAAAGCCTCTGTGCTTCTCTTCTTCTCCTTTGGGGGAGGTGGTGCTGACCTTCATGACATGGGGTAGGAGGGACATACTTTGGATGTAGGTTAAAGCAACCCATACAGAAGTGTAGGTCAGGGGAAGTTACCTATTCACAAAATCCTTGGCCTGGGAACCATAAAATGTGTACACACATGCATCATAAAATAAGAGACACATCATTGTCACACACAAATATAAAATGTGCAACATACATGCAAAATATACACAGTCCAAATAATATAAAAAGCATACAAATAAAAGGTAGACAAAACATACATATGCCACCCAAGCATGAAATGTGCATACCAACACAATATCTGCAAGAGATGTATTTAACATGTGTGCAAATGCACAGCATACACTCATGTGCAAAATATATAAATTCAACTGGAGGACAATGGATAAATATACAAAATACATAAACGATTCTTTGTCATTGTTTCTGCACACAAGTTCAGCATATATACACAGAGTTATACTAGATGCACACACACAAAAAAAACAGTACCCATGCCCAAGAACACTCACAAAATTCAGACATTGAATCACTAATCATGCCTATGCTTCTACATCTAAAATTTGATGGGCAAAGGCAAGGGATCAGGTTTAATTGCTTTTCCTTGCCCATATCAATAACCCTCAGTATTCTCCAAGGAGCATCTTCTTTGACATTCAGCCTCATTCCTGAGACAGAATTCCTGAGGTTTTAAGCAGAAAGATGGGCCACTGCATCAAGCACTGGAATCACCTGGCCTGACCTTTCACCTTAGTTGAAACAGCACTCAGGGTGCAGGGTGTGTGAAATAAGATCTAGCAACCCAATATGGGCTTCCTCGATATACCTTTTATTCCAGAGATAATTCACACAGATTACTCAAACTCCCAAATCTCCAGATTTGTCTCTATTCTTTTGAAGCAGTGATGGCTCAAGAAATTAGGATTCTGGAACCTAAACCAAGTTGAAATATCCCGACATTCTTTGAGTCCAAAGAACTAATTACCCAACCTTCCAAAGTACCTCTTTCTGAAGCCAGGTCAGAAAATTCATTCTCTATATGGGTGTGGCCCCTAAAATGAGACCCCTTTTCTTGCTCATGGCATTTCACTCACTCTTGGGCACAAGTCCAATAAAGTCAACTCTTGATCCCCATATATGAGTGTTCAATCTAGGCATGCTTCTCCCTGCTTCCGCATCAGTGCTCCCAGGGAAGCCTGGCTTCCCATTCAACTGTTGTGCCTTTATAAAATTGCAGACCAATTTAGCTGAAGTAAAATGTGATGAAGGACATTAACCTATGGCTAAAGGAGCGTTAACAATTTTTAGAGAGCCTGATTTTTATTCTCTATTCTAACAGTAGATTTAAACACTTTGTAAGATTACCCAGCATCCTAGAGCCCCAGAGGCTGCTTCTTCCTGCTAGTAGGACCAGGTGGGGACTGAGTGCATTTGGACAAAGGCTTTTATTCAAGATGGAAATTAGAAGTTGCATCCAGCCTTGGATCAAGCTTTGTGGGCTCTACTACTATGGTCCTGGGTATCTTACCCCTCCCTTCAGGGTTCTGTAGAAGAGGCAACAAGAGCAGAGAATGGGCATGTGGTCCAAAACTTATACATTTAATACACTGGGATTTTTGTTTCCGAAGCAAGATATCAATTTCCACCTTAGCTTCATGAGATGCCTCTGTGGCCTTGGGCTTGTTTAAAAGTTGGGGTTTCTGGAGTATTGAAAAGGAAGGCAATGAAGTTGTCAGGGAAAGAAAGTAACTGAACTGTAGGCTTTCTGAGTAAATTTATCAAGAACCAAGTTTTTATTGGTTAATTAAATTTAATTCAGGAACTCAAATTTAATCTAATTAAGGCTCTATGCCTTCCTGGAACTTCAGTGGTGTATGAGAGTCAAGCCTTGGTGAGAAAAGGCTGCACTTCTAAGGGTCCTCTGCCTAGGAATTCAGTGCCAGTCACAGTGGTGGAGAGGAGGGAGAAACTGATCTTCCCAGAGAAAACTGTAAGAAGTATGAACAGCATGCGAAGGCCATAAGGAGAGCTCAGTGCTCTGACTTGCTAACCTAGGAGGGAGGAAGACCCCAGAGCTCTCCTGTGAAACCCCCTTCCCCTGTCATAACAATCTTCATGTGTGGGATGGGATGGCTGCCTGGCCTGAAAGAGTCTGACGTCTAGGCTACTACTCCTGGTTATACAATAGAGGTTCCTTTTGCCTTGATAAATTTTCCGTTGTCCAGGTTCAAACTCATGACCTTAATATCATCACTTGCCACCCGAGTCAACCAGCAGGAGATATATGCTGGGAGATATTATAGTAGTTATTGTGACTATCATCTATATCCTTTGACTTGGCCCTTGTTGAGACCAGTCCCCTCCCCCAGCTCCCAAAGAGCAGAAAGCAGGGACAGAAGGGATAAGGGAATCCCTAACCTAGTCCCTTTGCCCTTCTTTCTGCTCTCCTTTCCCCTAAACTCAGCCACATCCCTCATAGTTTGTGTCTAATGTTTTTAAAGAGGAAATGTGCAATAAAAGCAATAGTGACTGTTTTCTTTAGCAAT